AAAATTTTTAAGCATCAAGCGATGTGGTTTAAATGTGAAAAATAATGTAATACTACACTTGCATATTATGTACAAAGTGAGTAGAATTTCTTATAGTGATTTTAATTTTTATGGTTATACGATAATTGGCATTTGACATAAGAATCCTACGTCCATTAAAGGGTACGTTCAGATTTTTTATCCGGGTGCACTCTATTACTAGAAACACTATAGTATATGTTACATATACTATAGCACTTCTAGTAATAGAATACACCCGGATGTGGAATTTGAACGCAGCCAAAAATGAACAACGAAAGACAATTGAAATGTGATGACGTATAGACAGTGAAAGCATACCGACGAAGTTTGCAAAGTTAAGATATGTATGCATCAGAAAGTTAAAGTGTAATATATTATAAATTGTATGCAGTAAGTAAAATGTAAGTTTATTTTATGTATTTATTGTATATATTTTATGTATTATTTTGGCTGCGTTCCGAAATAGTGCTGATAATACTGACAGTATTGATACTGAAACCAGCCATATTTATCGTTCCAAAATTGTTAAGCAGTAGCAACAGCGTAGGAAAACGGAACGCGTTTTCAATATCATGCAGTAGCTCGTAAAAACAACCTAAGTTAATCTATAATCTATAAATGTATAAAAGGCAAAAAACGTTAATACCCAGCAAACACAGATATATACCAGGTAACAGTTACATTGCCGTAATGAAATGGAATGTAACATGCAATATAACATGTATGTAGTAGGTTATATAAATGTTCGTTGTAATTTCCTACTCACATATGTTACAGTTATATAACGTGAATATAACATAAAAGTAATATGTGACTAAAAAGTTATATAAAAGTTATATGTTATTTGTTAGCAAATTAACACATATATTTTTTTGTTGAATTCCAACGATTTATTTATTAGTATGGTTCAGATAAGTGATAATGTATGATTATTTTGTCTAAATAATTAAAAAAAAAACTGACATTTTATATTCCGTATTATTTCAATTATTCGTGAAACTCGCGTGGTTTCTTCGATCCTATGTCAGGCGGGCATCCCATTTTTAGATCATGTTGTTCAATGCTTAACTTCAATGATCGTCAGGGAACTGGTGATGCTGATGCGCCGTAATAATATCTCTCTCTTGATAGATAATATTTACAATATATTCTTATATCGTTCAAAAAATGTTATGACATATTTGTTGGTAAATGTTTGACACGACAATCACAATACGATTAATATTGATACAATGTTGTATCAGTAATCAAATTTTAACCTACAACTCGCAAAAGAGAGAATATTCCTTCTTTCTCTCTCACAATACTTTGACAGAGTAAGGTTATGATTAGACTCTTTGTAAGAACTTTAGTTTTACAATATCGTGATAGCGATCCTTGCATATATTAAAATATTACATTTTATATACGAGAAAAACCTAAAATATAATTTTACATTTGTGTATAAAAATATTGCACAACTGAAATTTAATGCAAACATTAGACTTCTTATATAACATGTTATA